AAAAATGTAACAAGATAAAATTCACCGCCACAACATTCAAAACGATGTCACCCTGCATGAAGACCAAAACTTTTAGGATAGCCACAAAACTGAAAACAAAACCAAAATTAAAAATGAAACTAGATAAAATTCACCGCCACAACATTCAAAATATAAGACAACTCAAAATTTAATCACAAACATCATAAAAACAAAAATCATAACTAAATTAAAATGTCTCTATCGGATGATCGGGAATCTCTAGGATGACGTAACCTGCGGTTGCTAACGAAAATTCTCGCGGTCAAAATAAAAGTATGGAACTCGTTAAATTGAGTTTAGTAAATTCATTTGGATTAAGTGAATCAGAAAGAAAATAGTGGTGCCGGAATGAGGGAACCATAGGATCCTAACCGGTGTCGCTCTAATCAATTTTAATATCCCTCATAACATTTAAATAACCATAACCATAGGAACATTTGATTTGAAATTAGAACTTGACACACTAGAAAACTTAAACTTGCTATGATGAGGAGCTCGGAGCTAGCATTGAGGACAACACAGTCATTTTCAACAGCAAAACATGTCTACATCAACTAAACCCTTAGAAATTACAAAACAATACATAGGACTTCGAGGTTATTTGCTCATGCAACATAAACCCTCAACTTTCCTTTAGGCTTTTGTATCTCTGTTGTACAATCTAAGCCCTAACTCGTTTGAGGATTCCGAGGTTGTCGTTCGTTATAACCTAAATCCTCACATCTTCCAGGCTATTTGTGTGATCGTTTCACACGAATGTAAGCTCTAAATAATAAAATTGGCAGAATGAAACATTCAAATAATTTCTCCTCTAAATTGAAGCTAATTCATAGGATAGTTTAGGAAGTCACCGAGGTTCTCCTCAGAATCCATGACATCCCCTAGTTCTTCTTCCTAGTTCTTCTTCTTTTGGATTCCACAAATAAATGTTCCAAATTTGAGTCATTTCCCTTTCACACCTCTTTTATCCGATTTCATTGAAAATGTCCTATTCCTTTGAATTCCTTGAAGACGACATTTTTTGATTTTTATCGAGAGTTTTGTTAGGTGACTCCGATTATCTAACTATAGGGGCTTGCCCTTATAGCTTATAGGAAACGTTATAGGAAACGTTAACGAACCCAACTTAATATATACCCTATTTAATTCTTTGTATTAAATAGGGAAACTTGTTGGCTTATAATAAAATGGTTTTGCTGACTAAACAAATGTCATACAACCTTTAGTTTATTTAATTGAGCCACCACCAATAATTAATGTATTTATCCCTCGGGATAGGTGCACTGCTTGCGGTATTAGGCTCGTTTAAGATCGATTTGATTTCATATTTTTGTAAACTAAACTTAAATATATATGTAAATTAAACATCCTTCCGAAGCGGGCGACGTGATCCCGATTTCGGTGACCGACAGCTTCCAATGGACAACTTTTAACAAAATAGTTCCTACAGCATCTCACCAATTTGTTAGCCGACTCCCTTTCTAGAACTAGAAACATAGACATGGCTAAATTGACTCACCCCTAATTTGCGTTTTGACATTTTCTGTTTTTTTCAGCTTACATATACCTTTCTTTTTTGGGATTTTTCAGCTTACATATATCTTTTTTTATTTTAATATATTTGCCCTTGGGGTTTTTATTATATATATATATATATATATATAAGCATGCTTCAAGAAATGTACTTAAAAATTAAGTCATCTCTCTAAGAAATATGGAATCATTACGGTAATACTAACATTCTGCACTGAAATATAAATTTTGAAAGCCATAACACTATATTGATGTCAATGTTAGTGCGCTAAATTACATAATATTTGTTTGAAAGAAAAATGTATAATATGAGGGTGCATTTTTGTATAGGAGATTTCATAAAAAAAATTAGCTATGCGTTAAGGCAAGTTAGACTAGAAGAAGGTTATCATTGCGTATAAGTGGATGAACCTCTTTCCACATTGAAAACTCCATGGAATGATGATTGATAAATCACCATGATCAGTTAGTCAGAATATCATGAATCTGTTATCCTAATTCACTAAGCTCGGCTTCATTTAGTCTTGAAGGCTGTCTAGTTATCCTGACCGTGAGAAACAATCAGCTAGCATTTATGAATAATATATCTACAGGAAACTCATAATCTCAAATCAAGGAAGACAAGGAAGAGATATAGATTCTTAGACAAATGAATTTACTTAGTAAAAGTGAAAACAATATATGATTTATAATCTGTAGAGGTATAAAGAAAACCTGCAAAGAGTGGATACATAAAACTTGACTGTATGAGTCAAATCTAATTAATGGTGCTTACATTCTTATCTGGATCAAGGCTGCCACTTTCTGAGCTTGCTTTTAGGCGAGGCTTTTAAGCGAAAATCTTGATATGTTTAATTAATCACGTAGGTGGTAGAGAAGATAATGAAAGTGCCCCTGGATGCATGTATGCATGCGAAAATATTTATAATTAAGTGAAGGCTTTAGCTATATTCAAGAAAGGCCATGATTTATGCGCCAGTTATGATTTAGTGCTGATAAGCTCTGTTTTGTATCTTGTTTGAAGGACACAAAATAACTAAAACTCTTTTATGAAGTTCTAGGATTAATGCAATTTTTTTCATTTTGATTTTTTAGAAGGCCTATATAAAGTTGATTAACAGATTATTTGAACTTGTGGAAAATGACTTCTTGATGAGCCTAGACACATGGTTTCTAAGCAAAACATAGCAAAAGAAAATGTGAAACTCTTGATGCAATTCAAACACAGTATAAAAGAAAATTGAGAACGGATGCAGTTGGGTTTGTGGATATGATTACAATGACAATAGAAAAATACAGATAGGCTTTGTATAAATAATCTAATCCTAGTTTTTGCACATAAATAGAATATGCTGGAAACTTGCACACGAGCATAAGGTGCAAGTATTGGGTTTCCTTTGCTGTTGTTTTTTACTTCCTAGATCATCTTGTATGCTTCTAATTAGGGGTGTAAACAAACCGAACACAAACGAACGAAGCTCATGTTCGTGTTTGGTTCGTTTGAAATTACGTGTGTTTGAAATTGTTCATAAAGTTACTGTTCGTGTTCGGTTTAATTTGTTTGAAATGTTTGAAATGTTTGAAATATTTGAAATATTCGAATTGTTTGAATTATTCGAAATCTTACAAATTTGTTTGTATTGTCGAATTGTTCAAAATCTTTCAAATGCTTAAACCTATAAGAAATTAAAGCTTAAACCTATATGAATCACAATACAAATGCAAAATAGCCAAAACACAACTCACAATAAAACTATAATATCATGTCTCATCCATAAAAAAATCTGATCTATAGGCAATAAGCGAGATTTTACTCCCAAAAACTAGGTTTCACTCAAAGAACATTATAAACTATTGTTTGAAGTAGCTATCAAATGCATTTTTGGTATTTTTCTTATAACACACAAAGCTTTATTGTTTGTTGTAGCTATCAAATGCATTATTGGTATTTTTTTTTTCTTATAGCACAGCTCTTGTAGAAATTAGTAGCTTTTTAGTTATGTGTAGAACACCTTTACCATAGATCCACCTATAATGCAAAATAATATTTACCACAGATCCACCTCTAATGCAACAATGGCATAACAGAGGCACGAGCGAAAAATAGCATAATCAGCCACATAACATTAGTCAAATTATCACAAGAGCATAGTTGTGGCAGTAATAACCTGAATCTACTCTAAGCTAAACAAAAAATGTGTCTATAATAGCATCTAGTGTGTGTAAGTTCAAAAAGGTTGTCAAAGGTTTACTTATATTAGTTTGTCTTAAAAATCAAATTAAATTTAGGTCTTTTACATAAAATTTATTGAATTTAAAAATTTATTTTGAAAAGGAAGTATTTGATAGGGTTAAAAGATATTTGAAAATAGATATATAGTATTATATTTTTTAAAAGACTTGAATTAAAGGTTATTTTAAATGTGTAAACTTACTGATGGTATAGATAATAGATTTCATTTATTAAATTTAAGATGATATTCTCTAGGTTATTTGTATTCTTGACCATTCATATGTGATTTGAATACAATGGAATGAATATCTTTGTCAGATAAACCATTGCCTTATAATAATAACCAACTTATCATAGCCACAGGGCAATCCTAGATTGTAATGCATAGCCTGCATAATAAACCAATTGAAGTGCTGACTCAAATTATATGAAATTACAAATGAATATATCAATTTGAGGGATAGATGCTTGAAGTTATTAATTACTTAACTCAAGATTCAAGTGTTTAAATGCGATTCAAGTGTTTCAATGCGATTCTTACTTTAGCATGGACATATACAGATATACAGATATATAAGATATACACATATATTGCGTAGTATTTCAAGCCAAAACGAAGAGCCGAACATGAGCTGTTCACGAACAGCGAACCGTTTTGACAACCCTAGGTCTAGGTATTCACTAGGTCTAGGTATTCATGTATTTTGATAACCTTTTCCATTAACTTAACATAGCATTTTAAAAATTTTAACCTTGAATTTGTGTTGTTGGATAGAACTTCTAGTGTTTTAACTCATAATTAAAATATTATTGTCCGTTAATTATATAATGTGTTGAATCAAATGTAACTTCTAAGCCTTTATCGCAAGGTCGACGAATTCAAATCAAGTTTTTCTTTAAATTACAAATTAACAAAACTGTATCAAAGATAGTTCATTTCGTGCAATTTTTTCCTTTAACATCATCTCTATAGGCAATAAATTCTGAATCTTTTGATTCAATTGCCGTGAATTTACATATTTATGTAAACATGTACCTAGAGCTATTATTCTAAGTATCACATGCCTTCATTTATTTCTCTATCGAGATATTCTTATATAAGGAAACCAAATAACTAAATTGGGAACCCAAATATGTTTTGGTCCATGTTAATCAACATATTATTTAATCTGGTACAATAGCAAACACCTACAATAGCAAAGAATTTAGTGAATCATGCCCAGCATACTCCAGATTTATTTCCTTCAACGGGGAGGTTCTCTGAAGAAAAACAGCTACAATAGCAAAGAATTAAGGAATCAAGAGTAACAAGGTGCGAGTCTCCATGATTTATTCAGCTCTGAAGTTTAATCCAAAGCTAAAATGCCAAGGGAATGTACGTTGAACAAAGTGATTCTCCTCACAGAAAAGCTCTCTTTTTACTGCCTTCCTCTTGGCCAGTGCTGTTCTCCTCCTCCTCGGCCTCCTCGGTGTCTACACTGAGCCTCTTGAATGTTACAGCTTCGGATCCCATTTTGCTGCAACTCTGTGTTCTTGCCTTGAAAATGCTGCAAATCGCAGTAGATGCTTTCGAGTTGAAGTCGATCTGCAACCCGAGAGTTTTATCAATCAACTATAAGTTAATCATTGATTATGTCAGCAAAATGATCATAAGCATGAAGTTAATATAGAATCATTGAGCTGACAGGGATTTTGTGATACCTTCACTAGAATATTTTGTACCTTCAAATTGAAGAGGAAATTCTTTATGGTATTGTTCAGCTCGCCAAGCGCTCTGTGCTGATATAGATGGCATCTGCTGTAGTTGTTGCCACTTTTCTGCAGTATCGAAACCATACAGATAGCCTGGTAAATATGGATCTGGTTCAAGGTTTTGTAAATCAGCATCGCTTTTGACATTAGGATGTCCACAAGTCATGCCACCAGTCCCCTCCTCCAAATCAGCATCGTTTTTGACATTAGGATGTCCCCAAGTCATGCCACCAGTCCCCTTTTCCAACTGTTCAGTCAAAAGGAAAAAAAGTAATGAATTATTTCTCCAACAAAGATGATTCATGAATTTGATAACAGAAGAAGAAAGAGAATCAAGAGTGCTTTTCCTTTCCAGTTGTTGAAATGAGAGAACTAAAGAACTTGTAGTAAAACCAATAGGTAGCATACCATAGATTCAAAGAAGCTTTTCACACAATATTGTCTACGAAATCATTTCTGGTTTTAATGATTAGATGGAGAAAGCGCCATGGAAGCTTCTGTGATGTGTTAACGATTTGTATAATTTTGTCATCAGTGAAGGAGTGGATGACAGTTATTCCATAATCTGTTCGTAAATATCTCGTCTAAATTATTTGGAAACTTATAAGCTCCCTGTCATCAAAAACAAAGAACACAGAGACAATGAAATCCAGTGGATTGAGAATCTATCTCAATATGTTTAGTTTGTACATAGAAAATAGGATTTGAAGCAATATAAATTGCAGCTTGGTTATCACACCACAACATAATCCATTTCAATCAAGAATTGAGAATCACATCAATTCACTCGAAACTTATGCCACTGCAGCCAGAAATCTGTCACCGCACCTAGATAGGTGTGGTTTGACAATGTTGTTTTTAATATTTTGAAAACACATTAGCTGTCAAAACGCAGTTTACCCAAACAGACCAGATGCGTTTTCAAAACGCCGCCGCACCAAATAAGCTGCCCCAAACGAGCTCTTACTTAAATCATCAAATTTTTTACTTATTGTAAGCACTATTATATTCTCAAACATAAGCTAAAAATCAAATTTTCTTTTATATTTTTAAACTATTTACCAACAAATGAATCACCACCTTGAGGCTTAAATACGATATAACAAAGTTTAAAAAATAGCATTTTTTTTACTATACTCGTAATATTTTAGAAATCTTCAAACCATTGTAAATTAAATTGTTGTGCAATATTACCGGTCCCCAAATATGTTTCATAAACTCTATCTCTTTCAATATCATCATAGCTCCAAATTGAAAGTCGAACCTAAGATTAGCTATAAGATTATCAATATCAATCTTTAAATATTTTTTCCTCTTCGAGTATTGATTCATTTGAACTATTAAATGAAAACTAATATTCACCTTTATATAATTAGATGATTATTGAAAAGTATCATCCACTTATGAAAAAATAAATTTAGTGGTTAATTTTCATATCAACACTATGAATTATCTAAAATGACAATTACAAGTTATAAGCCCGAAAGTATTTTTCTAGTGGGTTTACAACATCTCTAAACAAATCTAGAAATCACATAAATATTAAAAAAAGATAAATTAAGATTGTTAACTAATTAGTTGTGCACTTATCCAAACAAAATTAAAAATAAGTTTTATTAAGGCTTATTCTATAGTTTTGAAGATTATATAGATTCTAGCTACACCAACCTCTCTCACAATGCTTGCGCCAAAATAAATTAGATAAATTTTTATTTTCTTTTATTCTGTTTTTAGTTATTATTTAAGAGAAGAAAAATTCAAGTCAATTTCATCTAACAAATGAGTGTCCAATCAAATATAACATATGGTTCTTAATTCAAGAGATCAAAACCATTAAAATCATATAAACTAGAGTCGTGACTATGATATAAATATTATTTTGCAACAAACCACTAAATAAGAATGCTCTAATTATAACTATTATTTTTCTGTGGAAGCCATTTTGAAGCCAAATTACACGGATAAATGAGATGTGACATGCCCTTGAGTATAATAATTTGAGAGTGAAAATAGCAAAATACTCAATATGAAATTTGTTCTTTTTGAACTTAGATTAATCATAAATTTAGAACCATTGAAAAGATATTACGAAGAGTAAATGTAATGTAGCCTTAGCTTTTAATGATAAATTTTGATTAAATATTTTGTTCTATAAATACCATAAAAAAATTATAATTTTATCATATTTTAGTCTATGAAATTAATATTAGGATAGGATCTTAGAATATATGTACTCTCAATGGTAATTTAATGAAATTAGTTGATATTATGATTCATAGAAAGATAAATATATTATGTATTCAAGAAACTAAATAAGTTGGAGAAAAGGCTAAAGAGATTGATTAACTTAAGTCTTAAACCTTGGTATCCTGGTTAGAGTCGTACTAGAAATGGTGTGGTGTAATTATAGATAAGAGTTTAAAAAATAATGTTGTAAAAATTAATAGAATTGTAGATATAATTATAACCCTTAAGATTATTATTAATACTAAGATATTTAATAGTATAAGTGTTTATGCTCCTTAACTAGGTTTATATATTGGTTCTAAAGATAAATTCTAGAATGACTTAAAAGACTTAATACAAATGATGCCTCTTGAAGTAACAAATTTTATTAGAGAATATTTAAATGGACTAGAGTGCTTAGTAAAGAAGGTAGTGTCATATTAGATTTTTCTTTAATGTATGTATTTGTTATTACTAGTAATTTATTCAAAAAAAGAGATGAACATATTATTACTTATAAGAATGGATCTAATAAAACACAAATTGATTATCCTCTTATGAGAAGAAGAGATCGTCGAGAATGTAAAGATTGTAAGATCATTCCAAATGAGAATTTAAGTACTCAACATCGATTATTAATTCTAGATTTTAAGATGAAAAGTTTTAAAATAAAGATAAATAAGATTATCTTCGTAGAATTAGATAGGGGTACCTAAAAGACATAAATTTATTTTTATAAGTAAAATTCAAGATTTCAAAATTTTGAATGTTCATGAAGAAGCAAATGCTATGAGGGATAAAGTAACAAATACTATTAAACAAGTGACAAAAATTTACATGGAGAATAAATAAAAAGTTTCTATAAAAAAAATGGTTATGCAAGAAAAGATAAAATATAAGAAGTTAAGTTATAAAAATTAGTTTAAATGTAAATCTTTAAAGAAGTGGGGAAAATATCAAACAACCCATAGAGAGTCTATTGGCTATAACCAATTGGCTATAACCACTAACTTCAAAAGCTGAACCAAAGCATTAAAAAAATTTTGTTTGATTTATTTTTTTGGTTATAACTAACTAGCGCACACCTCTAGAAAAAGTTTTAGGTTTATTTAGTTTCATATATTGTTATTTAAAAAAATATATGGGGCAAGACAACACGATGCTTCAAATTTGTCTATGTGGGTGACTATAATAGGAATTTGATAAGAAATTTTTTATTTTACAGATTAGATAATAATAATAATAATAAAACGAGATAAATTTATCAATTGACATACAATCTCATTTATCATGTGCCTCAATTTACATGTCACTAGCCTCATGTACAAGAAACTTTTGCAAATTGATTTTAGGCAAGATTTTAGACTATATGGTATTTATCAAAAGTAATTTTGATATTTTATACGTGTCGGTGCAATCCATTTTGTGAACAGTCGATATTTGAGCAATTTTATAACAATTTAAAGTAATTCGGGCTTGATTTACAATACGTCGTTTCCATCTTGTTTGTCAAAATAGACCATGGAAAGCCCATTCTTCAATAATTTTGACATACTAGATGCATTGACATACTTTGCCTTATGAATATGTGATGTTAATAAATTTTGATGGCAATAGAAACATTTGGACTTAGATTTTTGCATTTTTTTTAAAAAGTGCATGCTGAAGTGCCAATTTTCATTTGTAGGTTTTTTTTTTTTGCAATTTTTAAGTTTTGTAACAAATTATTAGAAATTGTTTGAAATTTTAATTTGTAGGTTCACTATTAATATTTGCCTTCAAGTTAAGTATTTTACCACATTTTTTTATTTAAATTAACTTTCAAGTCATAGAATAGAGTGGAGATATTCAACAATCTACTATCCCAAAGCCAACAGTTTGGCTGAAGCTTTTAACAAAACTTTTGTCCAAATTCTGAAAAAGGCATTGATTAATAGTCCAAGACAATGGCATGAGAGTTTGATAGAAGCTCCATGGGCTTACCAAATTAAATATTGAACACTAACAATATCAACACCATTTGCTTTGGTATATGGTTCTGAAGCCATACTGCTGCTCGAAATACAAATTCCTACTCTCAGAGTATCAATAGCAAACAAGATAACAGAAGAGGAAAACACAAAATTACGACTTGAAGAACTTGAGAGTTTGGAAGGAAAACGTATACAAGCTCAACCAAATATTGAACTATATCAAGCAAAAATGATACGGGCCCACGACAAACTGGTTCGCCGTAGGACATTTCAAATCGGGGATTTGGTCTTAGTATTTGGAAGACCTATCCTAGCTCATAGAAAAATAAGTGAAAATTTTGAACCGATATGGGAGGGCCCATATGTAGTTGAAAAGACATATTCGGGAAGATATTATCAGTTGGTTGATAGTAAAGCAGAAAGAGTTTTACCCCCAATCAACGGGCGGTACTTAAGAAAATATTATGCGACATGACAAATAATGACTTGTTTGTAAACTAGAAAAATACTAATAATATGAATATGACCTTCTTTCAATATTGTCTCTTTGATATTTCCTTCTTGCTTATCAAACAGGTGTTTGTGAGCATGAATTCTTAAAACAAATTGAATGAAGCTTCAAACAAAATTTCTCGACATTCACAATCATAAATTGACCTAAAACCAGGTCCGACATGTTTACATTAACCTGTCACTTGCAGGGAAAATGTCAACACAGACCTTTGTTCACTTTTCGAAGAGGTGTATGTTTGACACCGGACCGTCGATGCATCGACACAGGATCAAGAATCCATTTTAATTTTGATCTGACACAAGTTAAGTTACTGTATAATGGACTGTTGCTATCCATTGTCAGTAAAGAAGGAGAAGAGGGCAAATCACCTGTGTTGGAATTCAGAACCCGACAACGACATGTTACTGAGGAAAAAGTGAAATTGACAAAACAAAAACAAAAACTTGACACTGGAAAACTGAAATCAGTGGTGGTTGTTGCGGCACAAGGCATTATGGAAGCATCTATTGTTGGGTTCAATAAGATAACATCTGGATCGACTCGATTTCAAAGACAAAACCATAATAAACGTTTCAAAAGACTAGGGAAAAAGAACGACATGAAACAAAATCTATGGATGAGGATGATGAAGAATTTCAATTTCAAGTTCTAGAATATACACCTGGGGAAGTATATCCTGTCCTAGGTGTCAAAAATTTGGATCTTTAGGAAAAAGAAATGGAAAGGATTGTTTTTCCACCCAGTCCATAATATACATTAGTCCTTGACCTTACGACATCAAAGGAACAGACCAACATATAGATCATCTCTTCCGAAGAATTAAAATGTATCCAAACTTTCAAATGACACCATTTTGAACAATTTAATTATGTTGATGGTCATACAATCACAAAACATGGAGGTATTCAACTAGTCACTAAAGTCTTCGATGAAGATGAATAAACAACTATCATCGAAAATGTGAAATGAACAACTAGTCACAAATTTACTGCTATCTGAAATGAATACCACAAAAAAATCCAAATCCAAACCGAGAAATCCATCGAAAAGCTTACCTGAGACCTCCCTCGGTGAAGAATTCGCCGGCGCAGGCACGAAAAAACCGCTAGAGAGCTGAAGAGGGCGATGATGAGGAAAAGTTGCGAGGAGTGGTGGAGAGGGAAGAAGAGGGCGCAGAGCTCGTCGAACAGGCTCGCTCGCTGCTGGCTATCGCCGTCCATTTCATGAGCAAGAGGGCGGGCTGAAGAATCGCAGGTTTCCTCTTCTCCTTCGGCACGAGGTAGTATCGGTCTCCTTCCGTACGGGGGTATTATCGTGAACCATTAGCGATACGCGGCATTAGTTATAAGCGGTTATTCTGAAACGCATATTTGAATTGTGTTTTGAAAACGCAAAAGCAACGAATTAGCGGTCCAAATCAATTCTTAAACTTTCATACTTACATTTGCAAATGTGACTTCTTTCACTTATTACTTATGATTAGCAAAAAATTTAAATAATTCCAAACAATTACCTTGATTTTATGATTTGAATGACTAATCGTAACGCGAATAGAAGATGCTCAGCTCCGCACAACATAGGGATTGGCACGCTTTCGGGAAGAACATAGAATAGTAGAGGATCCAGCATGCGGGACACGGCGATCATGAGAAATTCACGAATTAGAGATGCTGTTGTAGAGGCCGAACCGTGAGGCCGCCGCCACTGCGGCAGCCGGAGGATCGCCGGACGGAAGGTGACGAAGGAGTGACGGAACGAGAAGTAAGAGGCGGCGGCGGAGAAAGGCTTGATGGCCTCCGACGCCATTTTTCCCGGTTTCAACATTAGAGATGCCGCGATGATTGAGCTTGTCGATGAAGAAGTGAGCTCGTCGATGAAGAAGATGACCGATAAATGAGAATAATAAAATTTCGGATTTTATCCCATTACCATATATTTTAAAGAACTTAATAGTTTCCATTCGAATTTATATTACATGCTTAGATTTATTTTAGTTAAATTAAAAAAAAAAGTCTTATACAAGCTTCAGCCGCCCCTAATATGTTTAACAATTTAAATATCACATTTTTAAGTCTAACTGTGCACAGGGATTCAGAACCCCAACCCAAAGTCTCACGATGTTGTAACCTATGTGTAACCTACTCGTACCATCCGAATAACCTAATATGTACTCAACTCTGCGTACGTCTTACGTACGCAAATATTTCTCCTTACAATGAGGATGTCAACCAACGTATCGAAATACGCGGCATATATATATATATATATATA